AGATAACAGCTACATTAGTCTCCCTCGCTACCGTTTTAGTCTCGTCACGCAACGCTCCTTCTACTCCTTGGGGAGGAGCGTTACGTGACGAGACACTGAAAAACGGCTGGGAGGGAGACTACAGCAACTGTACTAAAATGAGGCACCTTAACTGTGGAATGGGTTACCATCACAAATACGAAATGAGCCCAATTTTCATAGGTTTAAAGGTTTACTTAAGACCCATTTTTTTAGATTAGCTTTTTATTAGGATATTTTTTATGTATATATTATATTTTTATAGATCCATTGCTTTTTTTTTTGCATAATATTTTTAGTTATTTTGGATAACTTATTAATGTCGATAATTTACTTTCATGTAATGCGCATTTGATCATATTTACATGTATTTTGCGCAATATAAGTATTAAATTATTATTATTATTATTAAAATGAATAGAAATAAATTCCAGTGGGGTTGCAATTTGTTCTAGATTTGTTTACCAAGAACAAAGTAGTATGTATGAATCCTCAGCCAGAGGGAGGAGTTGTGGCGGTGTCCTTGCTTGTATAGGCTTTATAAGTGTGTCATTTACAATATAAATTCAAGACAATAATCAACGTTTCGACCTCCACAAGTTGACGGTTCAGGGTTTTGTTCCTTCACAACAAAATTAGAATATTTGTTTTGGCCCTCTATAGAGAATTATACTTAGACGCTAGAGACATTGACCATCAGGTTTTCATGGGAAACTGCAAACCTGAGAACGTCACGTGAGCACGGTCGCGTTAGTAGTCTGTAGTTCACGTTTGAACGGCTAGCAGGGTTTCTAGAGGTAGGTGACTTACGGCAGGGTTTTGCCACTAAAAATTGTACAGCCTCACGTTCAAAGGCAAGAAAGTAGCTTTCTATAACCGCTTACGATGTGCTAGTTAGATTTTTGTACTCGAATTAATGCATTATTCATTTCTTGGGGGCGATAAAAGTGATTGATGCAGTTCGACTTGACGAAAAATAATATGACGACACTAAACAGTGAACGGCTCGCTAAAATTTGAAATTCCGGCAACGTGAAACTGCAAACACGTAACTCCAAACTACAGTTGGCGGCTTGCGGTTTCCCATGAGAAACCTACGGTGGCCCATTAGGGACATGGAAAGTTACTCTTTTTACTAGCAATCGACACTTAGTAACTGTCGATCGACACTTAGTAACTGTCGATCGACACTTAGTAACTGTCGATCGACACTTACGTAACTGTTGATGATAAAATGCTAAATTACCTCTGCCAAGACTTGGAATGTGAAGATTGAATATTGGTGTGTACGGTAAAACGGTTTTAAGATCACTTTTACACTAAATTATATCAGTTGTTGAACAAAAACGTACCATTAACGAGACCCAGTAAAAAGAAAAGTGATAACGGGCAGAGAGTACCTTGGATAACAAAAGGAATCCTAAATTCAAGGAAAACAAAAAATGTGTTATATAAAAATTTTTAAAGGAATCGGAATGAAAATAATGATTCAATTCATAAAACATTATCTTTGCAGGTGATACTAATTTATTTTACAACCACAAAGGTGCTAACAGTTTGTGCAGTACCATGAAGCGAGCGGCCCCATCAGATTTTTAAAACTAAGATAAAGAAGTTGATGAGACTACCACACTGAATTAAAATCAATGGTTGAATGTTAAAAGTACTACATTTCTAGGTCCTAAATATGAATGAGGATCTCTAAAATACCGCCGTTGGAATAGATACAGTTATATACGCGATCAGCATAAAATATATTTATTATTCCCGGTCAGTCACAAATTACGGAAAATCTTTGTTGGTTTTGAAACGTAATTTCTTGTCATTAATTCCTCGTTTAATTGCTCGAACGTGCTTATAAATCGTTAATCGTAGTTCTTATAAATCGATTATCCCCTGCATTAACTATGGTTTTTATTGAAAAGTTTTTTATTGATAAGCTAACCGCTACATTTCCTGTCCTTTTATGTAATGTCCGCATAGGAAATACGTTATAATTTTTGGCACGTTTCGTTGATTATAAATTTAGCGTTTTTATCTTAGTTAGTTCAGTTCCAGTGGAGACTTTACGGTGGCAACTTCTGTCAGAGATAAAGCTAGATAACATTGGTGCGTGTGCAAGCTAAAGTGAGTATAGTTGTTTTGCAAATCAAAGTAATATACAGTGAAACCTCTATCAAGCGGACCCCCAATTCAGGGGCACGCAACGTTAATTTTCGGAAAATATCTGTTCGGAAGACGATTTGAGATCTACAATTTTCGGAACATTTGTTGTAAAATGTCATGCTTGCCTGCCTCTCCTAGGATTTTCGAACATCTAAAATTGGTATAATTGCCCATTTTTAAAGGATTTTTACCCTAAAAGGGTCAGCTAGGATTTTCGGGAGCCTTTTTTCTGGCTGAAATTTTCGAAATTTTCGAAATTTTGATCCTATAATTTTTGGATCACTAGACTTTCAGTTAGGAAATCCGAACAGATGAGAAATTCTAGGGGATAAAAATATGCCGATATCTACCTTTTAAATACTAAAATACGTTTAACAATACCATGTTTTAAGTGGTTTTGAAGTATATTCTCGTTAGGTGCCCCTGCCAATTAAGCGGACACCCTCTATTAAGCGAACACTAAGCAGGGTCCCGAAAGTAACGTCTCATACGCCGACGTACACCTCTATTAAGAGCGCGGACACCGGACTTAATTGACAATAGTAGTATTGGATTACGTCCTTGAAATACGTACTGTAGTCGATTTTAAAATAGATACATCCATTTAATAAACGCATTTAGCTGTCAAGTTCACCGAAAAGTCTTGCACAAAGTATAGTACAGCTATTCACAATCAAAACCTTCCTTAACAACATGAAACTTTATCACACTAACACTACAGGGTAACCGTTGAATGTTAACCGTTAACAAACATTACGCAATTTTTGCAAACCTCTATTTAGCTAAAATCAGGGACAAAAATAGTTGACACACTTGTTTAAAACGGGTGCTTTTGTCAAACATTTAATTCATTCATTATTTCATTCCTTATAAACGCCGTAAATCCCCTCACTCCCCGAATCAATGTTGTCTGAAGTAAAAGAAAGACTTGAGGGTCCAAAATACAACATTGATTTTGGGGGAAAGGGGTTGGGGTAGACAGGGGAAGGGGATAGGTATGTCCACTATGCAAAAGGGGCCATAATACGGAAGTGTCTCAACACTTTTGTCCCTCATTGTAGATTGCAACAGCACAGCCTCTTTGCTCTTCCTCCATGAACGGAGAAAAGGCCAAACTTCTTCATTTCTTTACTTGCGCCATTTTTCGCGCGGTCTTTGACTCTATGTTCCTCGTTCTTTGCTCCTAAACAGCACAGAAACGCTTGTTACGCAGGCTAAAGCAAATTTAATCGTCAGGTCTGTTGTCAAATGGCGCGAGTTTCGCGGGAATAAAAAAAATTGCGACAACTCTGACCTGCTAGGCAAGACTTGCGCAGGACTCAAAATCACGCAATACTCTAAACCGGGCAGGAACAGGAAGAAACCCGTTTTTTTTAATTTATAGGGGTCAAAAGCATATGGTTGTCAAAATGGTTACTACAAAGAAAATGTTCAGAAGCTTCTGTATGGATGTAATTGCTGTGCTCATTGAAGCCGTCTTTGAGGCGACGTGTTTCCCCCAATGTATTGTATATTACAAAGGCGACATTGAAAATCATGTACTAGATAACATTGAAAGTAGTGCAAGTTAGATGAGAATTAATACGGTAGGTTTCACCGCTGGAATGAACATCGCTTTTGATCGTGTGTTGGCAGTGATAGTGGCTGAACGCAGACCGAATGGCACGTCCCTATAACAAAGGGTAATCCGTAGGGTCAATAGGTATCTGACAATAGCTAAGCGCACTGAGGATCTTTTTTAAACACATAACTCCTTTAGCCCTGATTTTGAGTACGTATAAGCCTTCTTTAGTCTGTTTTGATAATCCCTGGTGAGTTAAATTGAAGCATTTCTTTTTTGGAGGCTTAAAGCGATAAAATAAAAGCAAGCGAATGACATGCACTGTTCTGGTCTCTGGTCTATGAATTATTACAAATAGTAGCAAGTGTCTTTATAGACATCTAGAAAGGTTGTCTCTCGCAAACAGAGGTAAGTAAACTTCTCTGCAAAGATAGGTGGAAATTAGTCGTCTATAGTTTGGGTACCACTGCAGGGACGAGGCCTCTCATAAATAATTATTATATTGATAAAGAAGTGATTCGGAGACGTTAATCTACAAATGGAAACTGTTTCTTTCTTCGACCTCTCACTTCTTGGCATTTTTAAGGTAATTGGTAAATATCATTGCATTGTTTGATATTTCCGTGTCTATCTGCTGCAGTTTGATCCGCCATGTCCATCACGTTGTACGAGGACGAAAAGTCATTTACAGAAGGAAAAGGGGTCACGTTTACACAGTCACGAGCGAATCTTCTCAAAGACGGGAAATTCACAATAGCCGATGTTAAAGCAGGAAACTGGATCTTCTACGAGCGCCAAGACTACCATGGCCCTTTAGTGAAGACAGTAAGAGTTGTTGAAAAACACGTAACCATAAGTGGCGTTAATGGCTCC